ATTCTAATTATCAAATGCTTTCTGATATCACTGCAAACAAAAACCTTTAGGTCTGCATGAGAAAATAAATAAATAAACATACATGACAGAAAATATGTTTTCATGCTTTAAATTAAAAATAATATACAAAAAACGTGACACAAATTCACAGATTTGCACACGTCAAGAACAAGCAAATTCAAGAAACAAATGTCAAATATTCTAATTATCAAATGCTTTCTGATATCACTGCTAGAAAACAGTTTTATGTTTATTTGCAAATTAGTTTCATGAAGCAAAAATGCCTTTTAATGTTTACGGTTGTGTGTGGCGATGGTGACTGCTAACAGATGTCTGGTTTGTTAAAAATGCAGCTTTCTATCTGATTCTAAGAGTCAGTGATGGGTGGATGAGAAGCTCACGAGCCATGTGTTTGTTCTGGCAAACTCCCTAATTGTTTCTATGTTTATACAAAAGACCACGCCACTGAAAACATTATTCTATCATTTGTGTGCTCAGAGGATTTGATCAGGAGCACACAATGGAGCAAAAAGAAGGCACGAGGGATCTGAAGCAAAACGGCCACAAAGTTTCCATCGTCTTGTCGCTGGTTGCAACTTTTAATTCAAATTTACTTGCTTTTAGTTTTTATTTTGTACATCAAATTGCAGTTTTCTATTACACTTCAAAATTTTCTGTTACTCACAAGTTTAAAAGATAARCAATCCAAAAAAGTACAAGAATAATCAGACGCCAGAAAGAGATAAATTCAAAAACTCACTCAGTAATTTTAAACAGGAGATTTAATGCAGCGTGACAAACATAACAAATTCTTTTGGGTAAAAATGCAAATGAGTTATTATTACAAATATTTGTTTTAATTATTCTATCGAAGAATAAAAAGACAATAAATCCAATTTAAAAAAATTGGTAACGAGAGGAAAGTGGCTCAGTAATGGAAGCTGCAGTGTCTTTTTCCCAGAGGCATATTAATTTACTTCTGCCCTAAAATTATCACACACCTCAGGCTGAAAATACAGGATGGTGTTGCAGAGGAAACCAACTCTAAATCAGCTTGGTTCCATGTTCWTTCAGTTTGCCCAAACTTTCCAGGCTGTAAAGCCTTTTCTGCACTCAGTAAAGAAAATAATCAGAAAATTGTTGCCGATTGTTTAGCAAAGGTTCTACAGCGACTCGCAATGCCACACAGACTTCCATATGTCTACAGTGTTGCTGAAACTGGCTCTTACCTGGACCTAGATAGGCCTGAGTCCTCTAAAAAGCACACTCCCTTTCTTTTTTTTTTCCTGCCTCCACCTGCCCCAGCAGAAACAATGTCAGTCCTTGTTACTGCGGCTCAATGTCACAGTCCAGAGCCATCCGTGACACAAAAAAGGCCTATCTGAGAAAACATTATTGTTATTCTGAAGCAGAATGGGAAGAGAGGGCTGGAGGGGGGAACAGAGGCTCGCATTGTCTGTCTCTGAGCCGCAGCCCTGCTCCACTGTTGTTTCCTCCTTCAGGTCCTCCCTCCTCCCTGAGCGAGGGGAGCATGGCCAAATGACGGAAAGGTGATTCATCATTGGTCTACGACAGCTGCAAACTGGATTAGCCCTCCCCCAATCAACATGCAAAGCGGCTTAGCCAAGGTAAGCAGGAAGGGTGGGGTGTGGGGTGTGTGTGGTGGTGGTKGGGGGAGTAGGCAGAAGGGTGATGGGTTGTGGGGATAGAAAGGGGCTGAGGGGCAGCGGAGTGTGGGACAGCCTTTCTACTTTCCTGCTGCCTTGGAAAGAAGATGGGACTTGTTGAGCGGAGGCAAGCCAAGCGTGACACCCCCAGCATCTTCAGCAGATCTTTCATCTGCAATCGACACTATCTGAAATTTATCAGCACTCCTGCTCCAGGCAAAACTGACAGGCCTTAATGACCATCAGGGCTGCTTCCCACAGGCCTGCCCCAGCCTGCGGCCATGACACGGTACGAAAACTACGCAGCGACTTCACAGTGACCACTTACACACACMCCCCTCGAACAAACACATCGTCTGGAACTAAATTCTTCACCAGCRCAGAAGTTCATGTACGTGCCCCCTATTTTTTTAGTGCAAAAAGAATCATAACTCATGCCTCTATGTCTGCATACACACACACACACACACCCATGCAAAGGGCACCTCAGAGGCCCCAGACGAGTGTTGTAAATGCACACACACACACATCCCTCGCACACACACGGGGTACTTKAGAGGGCCCCAGATCAGTGGTGCATCTCAGACAATGAGGGAGACTGGAAACAAGAACATGCAGAGCATATGGAGCCACATATGTTTCCTATGACGCCGCGAATGCCTCTATTACTCTCCGTTAGCTGACAGTTACATTTTGTCGTCCTCTCCTGCTCGGCTTGCCTCTTCTCAAACATCAAGCGGAGCCGTATACTTGCGTGGCTATAACCCTATATTAGACTTGACTCAAGCCCACCATGGGAATAGAGGGTCCAGAAAAAGGTCAAAGGTATTCATTTGGTCAGGAAAAAAATATATAAGGTCTTTTTTTTTAAAATACTGGCAGGATTTTTTTTAATGGCTCACTGTTTACATGAGGCAGGGTAACCTGAGCTCCATGGTCTTAAGCTTTTTTTTTCCTCAGTAGGCTTTGCTCTTCACACCAAGGCAAAGCCTTCATGAATACCATCCCAGCTTTATATTCTGCCTTCTTTCTTCCACATTGTGGCACAGCAAAACAAAATAAAATCAAATAAAATAAAAGCAAAATTTTTATTAGAAAAATCATGAAAACTGCAGTTTTGCTTCCTTGCATTTCCTAACGCTGACGTCTCAAAAACAGAAAAATTGGTCTAGAATGAGGCAAACATTCTGCCACAGCACATTAACAGCGATCACAGAGGTTTTATCCACACATAGGAAGTTGTGGAGAAAGACTCTTGTGGTGGATTGGTGTGTGTGTGTGTGTGTGTGTGTGTGTGTGTGTGTGTGTGTGTGTGTGTGTGTGTGTGTGTGTGTGTGTGTGTGTTTTTTCTGTTCAGCAGTGCAAGCCAAAAACGCCATTACGGTGCTGGTGTCTCCCACCGTCAACAGGTGAAATCAGCCAGGTGGAGATGAAGGAGTGCGAGCCCAGATTTAACCCAAAAACAAACCATTTCTGTTTCTTCACCACTACATATTTATTGTTTTCCAAAAAAGAGTCTGCATTCAGCATATTTGATGTGCATCTCACTTCAACCTGAACTGCCAGGACTTTGAAGCTGCYGTGAACAAAGCTGGGCTAGATGAAGCGCTGGAAGTGTCATCAAGGAGACAAAGTGCCACAACAAGCTTCTTTTCACGCTGGTTTGCCAGCCCTTTTCGTTTTGCTTCACTTATTCCAAGACCTGCATTTCCAAAAGTAAATATAGCCACAGGCAAGCTTTTAGCATAAATCATCACAGCATGCAGGGTGGCTAATCTGCAGCAAATCTTTTATTTATTTAATTTTTTTCAAAACCTGTGCAACAGTTTGCTGATTTATATAGATCATGTCATTTTAAATGCAAAATGTGAGAATTTGTATAACAAGAACAGCAAAGGAAAATCAACCGACAAATACAGTATTTTTCATACAGTTCAAATCCATCTCCCAACGTTCTTTGATTTTCTCCATTTACTCAAATCTTTTGAGTTACAACCTTTACAAAACAACACTTGAATGAAAATGTAACTTTAAAACATCTAATCCCCACTTAAGCTGGTCAGCTGAATCCACATGGTGGCCCAGGAAAAATAAATCCACTCGCGAAGAATGTAGATGCAGACAACAATTGGACACAGATGTGAATGGAGTGAGGCAGAGTTTACAAAACGCTACACTTCATTTGTGTCTCTGTACGTGGCCAAAGAAACGACTGCTGCCAGCAAATGTAGTGTTAAATGGAGTGGGGTTTTGTTTTTTAAATCTAAAAAGTTCTAACATTTTACAAGGCTGTTGCTCACCCTTCGTAAATTTAACTAGTTTAAATTACAATAAAGGTACAATTTATGTATTTTAATGYGATTTAAAAATAGATTTATTTTATTTAAAATTGCTAAATTCCACCTTTCACACAAATGTCATTTTCAGCAACAATAAAATGACTTTACAGAAGGTCTGAAATCTATTTAGATTTTTTTAAATTGTCTATAACAAACACACAAAYATAATGAAACAAGTTGTTTGTGTTTTTCATTCAGATTAATCCAACACTGCTCACACCACAGCCRCATTAAACCTTTTAATACTGTGCTCTTCAACCTTCAAAATTATTTCCAGGGGTACATTTTGCCTCTGAGGGGCCAAGAAACGAGCTTTAAGGTGAATATTTTATCGCAACATGCTGACCACCGTGACCACTGCAGAAGGAGATTTTACAAGAAAAAATCAAATAAAAACAGAAACCAGGTCAAGGGACAAACCCTTCTGATTTTGTCACCGTGATGCCAACGTCTGCTTTCAGTCTGTCAGTTAGAAAATAATGATTCATACGTCAAAGAAAGAAGATAATAAAATACCTTAATTGTAGTTTTAGTAATATTTTTAACTTAAAAGTAAGTGGTGAGACTAATTTGTAATGATCCCCACTTATAAATTAACACAGAAAAAGGAAAATAGTGATTATAGTGTTAATGGAAGTCATCTGAAATCTCATTTCCTGCTCTTTCAACCCCATATTTCAGAAGTGTGTAAACAAAACAACACCCCGTGGTGTTTAGTAAACAAGCATTGCTCAATAATCACCTACTGAAGGCTACTTAATAGAAGGTCCCTACTTCCTTCTTCCTTCTCTTGTGCT